AATAGTCTCTACCAGTCGATCTAAGAACGCCGATCCATGTCCACCGGTGAGATGTGAATAAGGTGATAATGTGAGCGCGAACAGTTGGCTACATGTACATATTGAAGAGAAGAAAACGGTTCGTGTTTGTGTTTCTTCCGAAAACAACGGACCATATAAGATTCTGCACAGTTCAGCGCACTTGGATCGGCGTTCTTAGATCGACTGGTAGAGACTAATTTTCAAAGATGGCTTCTTCCTGTATTCGCGAAGTTGACTGTGTGTATAAAATATCTTCTTATTAAACTCTATGGACACTGACAAAGTTCTCAATGCTTCGGTTTGAATGTAGGGACCTTTGTTATGCTGTCGTGTTAGTGTGGGGCTATTTTGAGCCTTGTTAGTGGTAATAACAAGCAATTTTTACTTGTCATTACTCTAAGCCCTATATACTAGCATTATACTAGCACTATAGGCTAAACTGTTTTCAGAGATAAAACTATTTACATTCGGCAATCATGAAAACAAATCTCAGATAACAGTTGACTAGGTAGCAATGTGTAATTAGACCAAAGGTTCATTTTGCGCCGGAGTTGTCCTTTAAATCTGTATCTGTATTGCATTTTCAAACTTCAAACAAAAATCATTAAAATTAACAAGTTAATAGATGTTTTCTCTGGAAGTATGTTGGTTTGAGGTGAAAAAAGTTAGTCTGGAGCCCTGGTGGTCACACACCCGTGTAACAGCGTGAGAAGATGGCCTCCATTGTAGTCAGCGCTCAGTTGGTTTAGTTTGTCATTTGCTAAGTGATCGTAATAAATAAACACATAGGCTTACACAATCCCTTTCGTCCTATAGATGCATCCTACAGAATATTTCTATCGTTCCCAGGACAGCCCTGAAAAAATATGTCACTGTTCCTACATACGTACTACGTAGCTGCAATGCTATTAACAACAATTTGCAAAGTTAAACACAACAAATGTTTCTACAAAAGACTAGCACAATGATTTATCTACAATTTACCATGGTTAATGCATCTCTGGCCATGGCACGTTCTTTGCGGCCACCTCGCGGTCAGAGGCCGGGTTGAACCAGCGGATGGCGTGCTGGTAAATCTCGTTGTCCGATGCGCTGCTAGCAACTTGGTTCTTCCGTACAGCCTCTGTTAAGAGAGAAAGTCAATTGGTTGATGGGTACAAATTCTGAAAATTACCTCTAAGTCAAGCCAATAACCACTGTTTGAGAAAAGCTTTAGATGTTGCCCATGTTTACTATTGTTGGTGTGGCAGAATACCTAATTTTGTGTAGACTTTCATTTAGTAACTCAAAACAAATGAATAACTAATCACAACTAGATTGTATTGGATCATCCTTAAATCAACCTTTTCAAGAGGAAGTGATTATGTGAGTAACCAGTTCTGTCATGACTGCAATCTATTTCAGCACTGCTATCAAAGTATTTTTTTTGGCTTTAAAGTTGCATCCCTTATTATGCATTATTAGTAGTGTAAAACTAGTAAAATAAAAATTCTTACTAGTAACATTTGGAATAAATACTAGCATCTAATAAATATGTACTAGTATCTAATGAATAAGTACTAATATCTAATGAACACGTACTAGTATCTATTTAATAGGTACTAGTATCTAAAAAATAAGTACTAGTACCTAATGAATAACTACTAGTATCTAATGTATATGTACTAGTCACAATTGGAATACATACTAGTCAGAACTGAATAGTTGATATCTGAATGACAGATCCCCATGGAAGTCAATGGCAACAAAAGTCACAATATTTAGTCACAAAAGAATAGTCAGTCACTATCGCAATAAGTACTAGTACCTAATGAATAAGTACTAGTATCTAATAAAAAAGAACTAGTATCTAAGTACTAGTATCTTTAAAAAGGTTCTAGTACCTAAAGAATCAACACTAGTATCTAAAGAATGAACACTAGTATCTAAAGAATTACACTAGTAGCTATTGAAGTACTAGTACTTAATGAAATAGATACTAATATCTAAAAAATAAGTACTAGTAGCATGAAAATAGAGACTAGTAGGTTAAAATGATTAAATGTTAAGTGGCTTGCCATAACCCAAATAAATATCCAAATGAATCAGGCACTGCTCAATAATACCACGGCGGGATTTCATACAAAGTCAACGAAAAGAAACGGAGAGATGCGTTTTCCCGCCCATAGACCTTATATTTGTCATAATTTGACAGTGAACTTAGTAAACAATTAATTTACACCTATGAATTAACGTTAACTTATAATTAATGTCAGATGAAAATTCTAATTTCTTCTAGCTTTGATTTTTAATACTTTACCTATCATAACTTCATAATGTTGTGCTTTATCATAGCAGGATAAGGATTTAAAAAAAAAAAAAAAAGTCGGAAAAAAATACTTTAGTTAACTTACCCTATTAATCCGGGGCTCTCGCAGCCAGGGGTGAAGAAAATATCTAAAAAGGAAGACAGGTGCTGTTAATTAACGTTAGTGCTGTTCAAAACTACGTATACAACATCATTGTAAGTTAACTAACGTTAAACAGCATTAATGTTTAAGCTAGCTACACACAAAGTTGTTTATTAATGCTAGCTTAGCTATCAGTTCATTCAGCTAACCCAGCTAAAAAGAGTACGTTACGTTAGCCAATCTTCTTCAATAGCCATCGTAAGAAGTTAAAACCCGGTCAAAACTTTCCGAAATGTTGATAACAAACATTACACCGCTATTAAAAACAAGCACACTAAACTGTTTGACTGTTTGATATCGTTCAACTTACCGTTATAAACTCTTTCCACGGAGCTTGCAGTCCGAAGATCCAAATGACCAACAGTTCACGCGCTCGTTCCAACGGCCCCGGGCCAGAACAACAACGATTCCGCCGACTGACTTCTGATCTGGAATGAACCGGTTAAAAAAAAAAAAAAGGAAACAATTCGCGCGCTCGTTCCGACGAGTCCGGGCCAGAACTATTATGATTCCGCCGACTGATGGATGTTCACGCCTACTCCCGATGTACACAGACTACATGCGGGCCGTATCTGGAATGGGGCAGTAAAACGGGGGTGACTGTTACACGGATCTGCCGGTTTGGAGGCGGATCCGGCCCAGAGTCAGCTGCTATCTGGGTATTTAACTTTGTTGGACTTTCACAAACAATGTTGGAATTTAAAATGTTTAAAATTTAGTGTACTATGAATGATAACTTGTTTATTTATTAAAAAAATATGGCCTGTTTTTAATGCAACAAACCCTTTAAATTTTTATTTTAAGCTCATTTGTATTATTATTACTGTTACTATTATTAATAATAATAATTATACATGCAGCTGCCACACACAAATCTAATTTAATTGCAATTACAATATTTTATTTATTATTATTTATTGCAAAACTGTGCATCCCTTTTCTATGTCTCTATCCATGATATTGATCCATAACAAAAGGATGATAGGACGCGGGATGAATGTATGGATATCTGTCTATCAGATGCACAAACAATCTCAAACTATACAAATAAAATAGTACTGAATTATGTGTGTTACACACAAGTGTTACAACGAACCCCTCTGTCTGTTACAAGTGTTCATTTGTAGCAGAGATGTGTATGTTGCTTGTGTAAAAAAAATATTAATCTAACCTAATTACTTTTTAATTAATTGAGCCAAAACCAAAATGCGTTAGGTTGTGCCCTGCTCTCCCCTATGCCCCTGCTTAATTATGTGCTCATCAGGATTGATCACTCATGATAAAACAGCTTACTTTTGCACCAGGGGTTAAAGAGCAGGACAAAATCTCCCAGTCCAACTCCTTCTCCCTGATCCAGGATCAGCTTGTAGACTCCAATAGGGGCGTTTGGGTGTGAGCACACGGTCAGAGAGACTGTGCTGTCGGACGCTGTCTCTGCAGTGGCACTCCAGCATGATCTGGAGGAGAAATGACTGAGGCTGAATTTGGCTTTGGTTTGTGCTTCCACTGAGGGTCTCGGACCTGAAATCAAACAGAAACACATGAATGGATAAACGCAAGCACTTTTAATCGTGACATGCGTGTTTTAAAGCCTTGACCTCGTGTTTCTAATTATAACGTATGATCTGACGACTGTGTGCTTGTGCAGCATAACTGTCATGCCTTTCAGCACTGTAAATCCTCTAAATACAGGAGTTAACTTCACTGTCATGGGACGCCCCGTAATAAAACCAGCCCTGATTTATTGTAAGTGTTTTAATAAAATCATTAGCACTAAAAGTGAAACAAGCCATGACGTTCCTGGTTTAATTGTGAATGATTTATTAGTGCATAGGGAAAAAATAATCAAATAATTATTTGCTTTTTCAGCCGATGTCTCCAAGCTGTAGATGCTTATTGTGATGATCTATCTAGAAGTGTTTTTTTAATACTAATATCAGCTTTTTTACATTTTACTGCATTCACACTGACAGCATTTTAATTGTGTTTGGTCACCAAGTTATTGTTGCTAGTTGGTGTTAGACTACCAAGGAAATACAGTTTGCTCGTAGATGTCATTTGATAGCCATTCAAAAATATGTGAATTTTGAAAATAATAATACTAATTATATAAATGTCATTTAAAATCACAAATATTTAATTTATTTTAATTTAATTATATTTTAGTAGATGTAAATGTCATGTGTGTATATATATATATATTGTGTGTGTGTGTGTTTATATATTTAATTACAGCATCTGCCAGTTAAACTCTGACCCTTGTCAACTACAGTTTCCAGGCTTCACTTTCACTTGAGCTTCACTTTCTGCTCTCTCATTGGTAGGGTTGGGTATCGTTTGAATTTGAACGATTCTGATTCTGATTCCGATTCCTTGTTTCGATTCCGGTTCCAAACGATTCTCGATTCCGATTCTTTCAAGAGGCAGGGTCAAAAAAGTTTAGCTAACCTTGCTAACCAACGGTCTTTCTGAAGGAAATACTCCTTCTGCAAAAATACTCCTTTTGTCACAAATTTTGCATTTTGCCGAGATTTCGTTATTTTTAGAAAAGTGAAGCCACACTTTGGATCGCCAACGTAAGGTACTCATGTTCGCTCTCGCGTGGTTATGCCAACACTTCCGGTAGACGCTTCTTCGTTGGTGTTGTTCAGCGGTTTCTTCTTCCGCTCGGCGGACTGTGAATATCGAAACTAGGAATCGAAATTTTAACTTTTGAACGATTCCGGGAAAAACGAAAAGTTAGTCTCGGTTCCAATCGATACTCGATTCTCGATTCCCAACCCTACTCATTGGTTGCTGCTGCACTCATTTGCCTAAAATTTAAAGTCTGCTCAACTTTGTTGCATTGGCAGTGGTTGCTTTCACATATCACCAACGCATGATGCTTGCTTTGGTGCCTAATGGTTCAGTTGTATGTTTGTTGTAAAGTCTGAATAGGATGGAAGTGATCTAGGAACCTGTTTGCGCGATGAAATTGATATCGGCCCCATTTTGAAAGTGAGTTCCCGGTCTCAGGTGTAGAGTGATGGTGAACGGCTGTCCTCTCCTCACGATCAGTCTGTCCACACCGTTCAGAAGCGTGTGGTGATCCGTGTTGTTCTCCTCACACACCAGATCAATGCGTTCAATCTCCACGACTGTGAAGGGAAGAAATAGAGAACATGCAGTCATTGAATCTTTAAAAAAAATGCCTTCGTGCAAATATTTATAATATTCATTAGGGTTTGTCACGAAGCACATGCACAACATGCTGCCATTTGAGCATTTCTATTTTTAGCACATGACCCATAGATTCTTGACTAGCATTTGAGGAATCAGAATAAATGTGTCTGCATGCTTTGCAATGGACAGGAAGACTAGCACAGCTAGAAACTGATGCTAAAGCATTCCGAGACATGAAGATATGTAGATATTTTAAACAAATAACGCACAAGGTCACAAATACGGATTGTTGTAGAAGAAAAGTATAAAGGATTAAGTATATTTCAAACTGAGACAAACATTTTTAAGGTATTGCAATACAATTATTCAATTGCAATGCAAGTGAATTGAATAAATCTTCAGATAACCGCTGTGGATGATCTTTACATTGCAACCAAACGTACACTAACCATGCTTTCGCAGTTCCCGTTAAGACACATTTTGCAAATTATTTCTCATGCATTTTCCCAATAAGTATCCAAATGTGACCATGGACTACAAAACCAGTCACATGGGTCAATATTTTTGAATTTAGGTTTATACATCATCTGAAAGCTGAATAAGTAAGCTTTTCCATTTATTTAAGGTTTGTTATGATAGGACAACATTTGAACTTTTTGAAAATCTGGAATCTGAGGATGCAAAAAATACAAACAACTAAACATTCATTGAGAAAATCTCTTTTAAAGTCGTCCATTTATGTTCGCGATTGTGCTGCGTTCATTCAAATAATAAATGTTTTGTAAATTTACAGTAGGAAATTTACAAAATGTCTTCATGGAACATGATCTTTACTTAATATTCTATGATTTTTGGCATAAAAGAAAAATCAATATTATCAAATATAATCAAATTATTGGTTAATGCCACAAATATACCCGTGCGAGATGTGACTGGTTTTGTGGTCCAGAGTCACAAATGTACCACAAAAGCGTGCTGTATTTGCTTCAAATGCTGCCATGTAGTTGATCCTACCTTTATCCATGGTCCCAGCGGTAATGCTTGGCCTGCGCGGCGTGTGACTCCGTGTTGGGTGACTTCAGCTGGTGTTGGGGTCACTGGAGAGATATTTTGGGCGTTGTGTCCTAATGTTACGGCGGTGTCAGAGGACGTAGACATTGAACCCCTGCTCTTATTTATCACAGTCCGTGTCTTCTACAAAAGACTGATGGTATTAAATCACATTACAGCATGTCATGTTACGAGTCTATTTCTGACGAACAGTCTCTGTGGGGACTTAGAGCCACATTAATTATGATCTATCTATGTTCACTCTTGTACATGTCTGCTTTCAACTTTAAAGCTGTAAATCAGAGAGTCACTTTCATTCATTTGAAGATGTGGTTTGTTTTAGATCTGACAAGTTTCCCTCAAGGTGTGTTGTGTCTGTGTTACAGTAGGTGTACTAAAGATCACATATTATGCCCTTTACAAAGTCTTAAAGTTGATTTTGGTCTCTACTAGAATAGGTTTTCATGCTTGAATGTTGATTTCCTCCATATTTTCCACTATTGCGGCTCCTCTCTTCCCAGTCTGTCAGTTTCACTCTGCTTAGTTTCTGTCTCTATGAAGCCCCTCCTTCTGAAAAGTATACTGTGCTCTGATTGGTTGGCTGGATCAGTGTGTTGTGATTTGTCAAGTGCTTCGAGTGTGTTTGGTAAATGTCCCGCCCCTTTCCATAACTGCCAGTTTCAATACACTACTAACTCAACCAGGCCCCGCCCCTTTATTCTACATATGAATTATTTAGGCACGAAGGCACATTTGCATCAGATCTGCATTAGGTTGATTAGTTCATATTCTTTGTAATTTAGAATGTAGAATGTCTTTCAATTCTTTTCATTATGTAAGAGGCTGTTGGATAAGTGGATGTTTACAAGAACTGGATTTACATAATAATTTATTAATTCACTAGACTGTGTTCAAAGCAATCCGTTTGGTGTTTAGTACTGGAAATAACACTGGATTGGATGTCTACTGTCTGTATGTTTATATGACTGTCTATCGAAAGCAAGACACAATACAGAAAAATATAATGACCTTCTTTTATTTATTATAAATCTTTTAAATAATAAAACACAGTTTTCTCTCTCCAGTGAGGTGCTGACATCCTGCATATTACAGTACATGACATGAACATAAAACCCTTAGACAATCCAAATGAATTTTCAAAAGAAATTTTCAAGCATTATTGTTTCCATTATGTATGTATTTTCCAAATTCCCCGAATCCCACAAACTTCACAGGGGTTTTGAGCTGGTTAAATGTACAAATCACAGCATTTCAGTGGTATAGCAGGACGTTTGATCATGACACATAGAATATTTGGCTATAAATGCATTTTCTGGTTAATGTAATATTAAACATTGCATTTTCTTGTGCAATATGATTTTTATTTACAGTTCATCAAGAAATTGTCTCATGCAAAATAATGTCCAAGCTTAAACAGAATGTTTCTGTTCTTTTTCCAGAAATGCAACAGGAAAATGTCCATGTGGTTCCTCATAATGTGCCTTTTCTAATGATGATGATTATGATGATGATGATGATGAAGTAAACAACTGGTCCTCCAAAAAGGTCTGGTCACTGTCATCTTGCTTTTTCTTCTTTCTTACTGCAATTCTTTCAAAATATGAACTGATATCTCTGGTCTGTTCAGCATCAGACTGTAACATCTGACTTGTTGACTTCACTGGTTAGAGCGTCACATGACCTGATCTGGCATCAGTGAACTACAAGATACAAGCAGACAATTTGCATCATTAGTACACTCTTAGAAGAAAAGGTTCTATATAGAACCTTAAAAGGTTCTATCAGTGCTACGTATTTGGAACCCCTAAAAGGTTCTATACACTCTTAAAAAAAGAGTTCCTCTGGGTTCTATATAGAACCCTGGGGTTCCATACTTGGCAAATAGAACCTTTTACCAAAAAAAAGGTTCTATATAGAACCATTTTGGAGTTCCATATATGAAGCGGGGGATGGAACCATTTCTGGTTCTAAATAGAACCATTTCTTCTAAGAGTGAGTGATATCATTTATAAATTGCATGAATTTGATAATATCTTAATTTCTACATTTCTATGTAGTCACATTAGCCGATTAGAGCTGTGCGATAATATACTTTACATTTTGCGATGATAGAAGATTTGAAATATATCGCTTTATCTAAGTACTTTATATTATTTGTCTCTGTATTAAAACTTACCTCAATCACAGCTAAACTTCTGTTGATGCTTTGGAACGAATCGGCTCTTGAAACTGACACTGAGGGAATCATAGAATAACATCATTAACATAAAATATGAACTCATTTTCCTCTTCCTCTTGAAATATCAGTGTTAAACTCTCCAAATCCTATTTTTTGCTGTGTACGATCTAATCACCACCCTAATCAAATAAAACCATGTGACTCTCTACAAAGGCAGCAAATGAGCGCTCACAATTGATTTTAACATTTACATTTATGCATTTGGCAACACTTTTATCCAAAGGTACTTGCATTGCATTAAAGGTACACATTTTATTGCTTCATGCATTCTCTGGGAATCGAACCCTTGACTTTGGTGTTGCAAGCAATTTGGTGTACTGTTTCGGCCATAGGAAAGTCATACGTTAAAATATGCAAATGAGGCATTATATAATTAAATATACACTATTTTCCACACAATTCCAGAGCAGAAATCTGAACACATTTTTAAATTAGTAATATAAAAGTAATTTATATAAGAGTCGGAGGGGATTTTGGATGAATCAGAAAATACAGCCAGGAAAAAACAACAACAACAACGTTTTTAGAAATAATTTTGTATAAAATCAGGCGAATTATCTATGAACAAACCCCTCAGTAAAAACCTTCAACGTGTAGATGGGAATAAACTTTGTACACATAAGTGTCAACACAGTTAACTGCAACTGAAATCTACAGATGCAAATAGATAAAATACATTTTCGATTTTATTTGGGATATTTTCTTTCCATTTGTCTGAAATAAATTGCTCAGAATGCATAAAAAAATATTTCTATGTTTTTTTTTTTTTTTTTTTACAATTTTCTAGCACCGGTCAAGAGGACCTTTTCTAGGACAGGTTTGGAAAAGAGGTGATTTGCATTAATGTCTCCACCTTGAGAGTGCCGTGAGCATCTGTTTGTGGACTGATCTTCTTTCTGGACAGGGTAGGTGAGCCGTAGTGAAGAGCACGAGCAGGAGACGACTGAGGAGCTGAAGGTCTGCAGTGAACCAGTGATGACACAGACGCTCTTCTTCCAGTGGGGCAATTATGATCCACACAGCTAAATAAACCTGCGTTCTCCACAGAGGAGTCTATGAAGAGAGAGATTTTCATATTATTAAGCCCTTTCTCTTAATACAGAGACACTATAAGTACTAGTAGATGTTCTTGCTCGGATACCGTATTTTCCTCTGAAAACGCTTGGGGACATGGAGCCCCGCCCAGACGAGGATGATGAGTGGCTGCCGGCGGTTGACGTGCTGCTGCCAGAGCCAATCGAATCAGGCCGTGGCAGAGACACGCCCCTTTGAAGGCTGGACACCAAGGGATTGGGAGTTTTCAGGATTCCTACAACTTCTGTCAAGAAAGTTCAGGTAATCAGTGAATAGGTGTTTAAGTCAAATAAATACAGTATTTTGCTTCAAGAGATTTAATTGTCAGCTCGTGATTGGCTGATCAGTACCTCTTCCTGTAACATCATCACCGTTCACGGCGTGATTGTTAACGGCTGCATTTCTGGGCTGAAAGTTTATAAAAGGTTTCCAACTCATTCCCATGAACAACCTCTCTTGTCGTCTCTGCTCTGAAACACAAACATCAACAAGTTCTGTGGATCTACAAGGACATGCAAGCGCAGACAACTTGTACTGTAAACATTTAAAGTTGCTAGACTTTGTCTCTAAAATGACTCATTTACATTATTTACCATATATTGTATTGTGCTGTGCTCTGACCTCTGCTCTTCAGCGCTTGTTCCCATAGGATGTGCTCCAGGTCTCTGGTCCAGGCCTCCTTGACGTCCTGTGTCTCGGCCTGTAGGATGTAGGTGTCCTGGGACCGTCTCCTCCTGAACCAGATCTCGAAACTCCGGCCACTCAGACCGCAGGAGTGGGTCATCCCAATCTCACAGGTCTATAGAGAAACAGTTTAAATTGTAATCATAGGAGATATGGATCAAATCGTGCAAATGAAACAAACACTGATTGGATTTACTAATAGCTTTATTTGAAATTAGAAAATGAGTGTTAACTCTTGGCAATTTTTTCTGAGTGGATTTGATTTCCAGGAAATACACATTATATAGTAAATACAGTAAAATAATAATATTGTCAAATAATACAATTTAAAATAACTGAATTCTGTTTTAATGATTTCTGCTGCTCGAGAATTTTTATTTTTAGAGAAACCATTTTAATTGCTTAAATTTAAACTGCTTTATATTCACATTTTTATTGAGGATTCATTTATGACTAGAAAGTTCAAAAGAACAGCATTTATTTGAAATAAAAATGTTTTGTGACATTATAAATTTCTTAATTTAATGTGTCTTTGCTACATAAAAGCATCACCGTAGTGTAGATGTTAGTTGCTTTGAATAAAAGCATCTGTCAAAACGCTTGAAGGTAAAGTTTTGTAAGTTTCATGCTAGAAAAAAAAACCCCTGAATATGACCACAGCAAATCATTGCATATTGATGCTAGGAGTTCAGTTTGTTTCACAAAGGTAAAAACGGACCAGATAAAATATGAATATTACCATACACATACCTTGATAGACAGTTTGTAAACGTACACATCATCTCCACGGTCATTTTTTTTGGTCTTGGTGAAGAGAATGACGTCTTGGAAGAGAAACACTCGCCGGAGGGAACGTTTCTTGCGGAAAATTACCCAGAACTCATCCTGGCGAATCAGTTGGCCCTGCTCGTTCAGGTTCAGCTGGAGAAATAGAATGACAAAATCATGGTTGCGACTTACATATTATGGAAAAACTGTTTCAGGTGTGTGAACAAAGACCAATATTTTTTGTTTAATATTTTTTTTAAATTTAGTCATAAATACGGTGGCAGAGAGAGCTCAATTTAAAAAAAATCGTTAATCAGTTTGACAGCACGTGCTGTAAATATTGTTTCTGTATTTGGTTGTGTTGTGAGTATTTGCAGTATGTTACTGTATTTGGCTGTGTTGTGAGTATTTGCAGTACTTTCTGTTTTTGGTTGTGTTGTGAGTATTTGTTGCACATTCTGTTTTTGGTTGAGTTGTGAGTATTTGAAGTACTTTCTGTTTTTGGTTGAGTTGTGAGTATTTTTGCACGTTTCTCTATTTGGTTGTGTTGTGAGTATTTGCAGCATGTTTCTCTATTTGGTTGCGTTGTGAGTATTTGCAGCATGTTACTGTTTTTGGTTGAGTTGTGAGTATTTGCAGCATGTTTCTCTATTTGGTTGCGTTGTGAGTATTTGCAGCATGTTACTGTTTTTGGTTGAGTTGTGAGTATTTGCAGCATGTTACTGTATTTGGTTGAGTTGTGAGTATTTTTGCACGTTTCTCTATTTGGTTGCGTTGTGAGTATTTGCAGTACTTTCTGTTTTTGGTTGAGTTGTGAGTATTTGTTGCACATTCTGTTTTTGGTTGAGTTGTGAGTATTTGCAGTACTTTCTGTTTTTGGTTGCGTTGTGAGTATTTGCAGCATGTTACTGTATTTGGTTGAGTTGTGAGTATTTTTGCACGTTTCTCTATTTGGTTGTGAGTATTTGCAGTACTTTCTGTTTTTGGTTGCGTTGTGAGTATTTGTTGCACATTCTGTTTTTGGTTGAGTTGTGAGTATTTGCAGTACTTTCTGTTTTTGGTTGAGTTGTGAGTATTTTTGCACGTTTCTCTATTTGGTTGTGTTGTGAGTATTTGCAGCATGTTACTGTTTTTGGTCGAGTTGTGAGTATTTGCAGCTGATAATGTTTTTGGTTGTGTTGTGAGTATTTGCTACACGTTTTTGTATTTGGTCGAGTTGTGAGTATTTGTAGCACGTTTCTCTATTTGGTTGTGTTGTGAGTATTTTTGTATGTTTCTGTATTTGGTCGAGTTGTGAGTATTTGCAGCTGATAATGTTTTTGTTTGTGTTGTGAGTATTTGCAGCATGTGTTGTCAAACTGTTGAAGATGGTTTCCTTATTTGCTGGTGGTTTTTTTTACATTTGCATGTGTTCAGTTGTAGAACGTTAGCTCTCTTGTCCATCGTACATAAATGGGAGTGCATCTATGGTGACCAAAGTGCAACCTTTGGTGAACTATACCTTAAAATATATATATATATATATATATTTAACAGGTTATTAAAATTCAACTTGAAATTTCACCACTAACATCGCAGTCCCGGATGGCGTCCATGGTGAGCAGGTCGTTCCCGTGCCGCAGCTGGAATCGCACCACTTCTAGAGCCGCCCGGATCTCCTCTTGTTCTCCGCTCTGATCCGGCACACATTCGTCCAGGATCTCCTGCAGCAGGAGGCTGTATTTACTGATCCTCTGGACGGGCTTCAGCAGGTATGAGGACAGATCCATGCTGTCACCCAACTCCATCTGCTTACGCTAGACGGGAAGGGAAGAAGTTTAATTTCATATCAGTATCAGGATATTTTTTGTAAAGAAATTGATACTTTTATTCAGCAAGGATGCATTAAATTTTTTAAAAGTGACAGCAAAGAGGTTTATAATGTAAAAAAATATTTGTATATATTGTTGAATTTATGTATAACCAATTGTAGGTTCCTCACCTTGAAGTATCTATGATGTTGAATGAGCGCATCAGACTGGGGTTTGTTCTTGCTGTAAAGTGCGTAAAGTCCAAAACTCTCTGTCTGTTTAAATAGATTTTTTTAGAAGGTCAAAACAATATTCTGTAAGCTGTAAGAAGTGAAAAACTATGAAGAAACTGTTGTCTTACGTGGTTTAGGAAGCAGCGTCCGACTCGCAGTGGTTCTGCCTGACAGGACTCCAGTTCCTGCTGGAAGTGCTGGCAGTGGAAGTCGTACAGTTTCTCCAGGTTTCCGAAGATTCGTCCGCGCTGACCGCGCAGATCCTGCGGGACGTCGGGTCTGGCCAACAGGGGGACGTAATGAGTCAAGATGTATCCCAGAGAGCGGACGTACTCCACCTCCGTCAGCAGGAGCTCCTCCATGACACGGTGAAGCTTCCTGACGGGAAATAAAGATAACGATAGATTTCTAAAATAATACAAATCCAAAATATCTTTATATTACCATGATTTTTTGCACATTTCACCATGGTAATACTATAGCTATTTTAAATGGTCACAATCACAATGACACTATTTAAACATGGCATGTAAATAATAGTAAAATCTTGTTTACCATTCGAATAACAATTATGGTTTCCAGTTGTACAATCTAAAACAACTCGGTGTTGTCACTTTTATAATCCTATATTTGTCCGTAACTTTACCTTTCTGACATCAGTGAAAGCTTTTGGACAGAGAAAGACATAGCAAATGAAAAATATTGAGATTTTTTTCCCCCCCTGTTATACACTAATGTTTAAAAGTTTGGAGAAAAAGAAAAGTTTTTTCAAAGGCAGAGAAAGTTATTACATTTTAATTAAAGAATATAAAAATCTACATTTTAGAACAACTCGCACTGATGATTTTTTTTCAATTAGACCGGAAATCTTATTTTAAAGTGTTACCAAGTAAACCGTATCAATGTTAATTCCATGTTGTCTTTAACACATAACTCACATGGTTCTATTTGGGCTTTCTGGGCTGGATGCAGTGGTCTCTCCACGGGCCGTCTGAGAGCCGAAGCTGCCGCGACGAGGGTTCCCGTACTCCTGGTCCTGTGAGAAGATGGGCTCAGTGATGTGGAGCTCAGGTCTCTTGGTGTTTCTGTTCGCCGCCGGCTGCCAAGGGAACCACTGACAGCCCACCGTACCCGAGCCTGCGACCGGCTTCTGGTCCTGGGAAGCTCTTCTGCCGGCGCTTCTGCCTCTCGGCCCGCAGTCTGCCGGGTTTTCCTTGGCGCTCTGTGCGGTTTTGGACTCTCTCCGGGTTTTGTGGTTGGTTCTGAAGTTGAAGCAGGTGACGGTGGTGTGCATGCTGTCTCTCGATCGACTCGCCCTGCTCTCTGACGGGTCGGGCACAAGCTCCTGCTCATCTTGTGCTGGGTGGGCGATAAGACCAAAAACTTAGAAATTCGATGCATCACAATATAGTTATTTTTGTTATTGAAAATAAGAACAATAAAGCAATTTACAAATATTAGAACAAGTACAATAGAACAAATATACAAATATGGAAGCTTCCGCCATGGAATAAAAAATAAAAAAGGTAATTGCAAGAGAAAAATTCAGAATTGTGAGAGTTTCAATTACTTATTTTTTTAATTACTTTTTTTCGTGGCAGAAACAACTCAACAACAGAATTGTGAGATGTATAGAATTGTAAAGTATAAATTCAAAGAATCAGAATTGTAAAGTATAAAAGAAAGCCGTAATTATGAAATCATTTGTAATTTTGTTAATGGTTTTATTTGCATTTTGTGGCAGAAAAAAAAACAGAAAACAGAATAGTGTGATATGAACTCATCATTCTGAGAAAAAGTCTTGCAAGAAAAGTCAGAAATTTGCAATTATCTTTTAATCTTTTAATTTTTTTTAATCTGTGGAAGGAAAAAAATTCAAAATTGCAACATATGAACAATTACGAGGGTAAAAAAGC